CACACACACACACTCTCCAAGTTCTGAATGAAGAAAAGTCAGAAGACCTCTGGAAAGCTTGTGGCTAGCACTGACAGGCCCCAAAGTTAGTGCCAGAGGTAAGCATCACACACAGTCAAAAACATCTCTGAACGTCTTCCAGGACTGAGGTCCAACCCACTCTGGTACCTCAAGGCCAGAGCAAATCTTTACTTCTGGATGAACACCAGACATGATTGGTCACATGAGTGACAAATATGTTTATCTTTAAATACTACAAACACCATCCAAAGCACCAGATGCTCACATATGGAAGATACTTTTAAGAGCTGCGCTCAAGCAGAGAAGAGCTAATTTAACTCTCACACCTCAAGCTGACTCAGGGCCAGAAGCACACTGAATGGGAAGAGAAGGGAAACTGAGGCACTCTCTAATCAGTCATCTAATCAATCTAATCAATAACTGTCTCTCCATCTGTCTGCTGGTCTCCTGCCTCCAGTCACCCTGCCCTCCTCACGCTGGGTCTCCAGCCCTCTCCCTGGGTTTACCTCTCTGGGCACCCCTCTCTCCTCTCCCATTTCCATCTTGCCAAGCACCATATCATGAAGTGGTGAAGTGGGCTTAGGAAGCAACTGCACTGTTACAAAAGATGATCAGAGCCCTAAAGTGGACCCCAAGAAAGGGGAATGGAAAGTATGCCTCTGCCGGCTGTAGCTTCGCCCTACAAGTTAAATGGGATTGGCGTCAGCTGTTGTATTTCCACTCCATTTTAGTTGTCATCCTCATAGTTATACAGACATGCTGAAGCAAACTGTTTTGATGATCCAGGTAACAGTTCGCATGTGGGTAGTTTTGGTTCTTCTCAACTAAATTTCTTGTTTCTAAATCATTCAACAAAAGACTTCTTCAACACTGTGCACATAGAAAGGGCACAGACCATGTGAAACAACTGACCACGTGGGTCTAATTTTGGTGCCTGAACAAATCCCAGCCTAACCCTGTCTGGCAGGTCGTCAGCTGTGCAAAACCCTATTACACCAGAGGCACCCACTCTGGGTCTGCTCTAAACACCGTGGCAAAACTCGTGCCGTTCACAAGTCCATCGTGGTTCTGGTGCCAGCTGGACCCTTGTGCTTCTGTTTATGAGAATGTGGGGTTCTAAATTATTAAAGTTAATCAGTCCACAAATGACACTCAAACTTTCTACAGGTGGAACTAACAACACTGAAAAGTTCTGGCTCTGACTAGACAAGAGAGATGAATTCCTGCCATGCCCCCTCCTTGGTCAAATGGTCAACGCATGCACGCACTCACGCATGCACGCACGCACGCACCTTGTATCCGTCTCCCCTTGCCAATCTCGGGACATATGAGCTCTCATCAGGAACTTGCAAATATAGGGAGGGAACCAACAAAAGAAATGAAGAGAATGCATACAGTATGAACTAACTGCATTCTCAGGCTATGAAGCAAGGAATCAAAGAACACTGAACAAATATTTATTTAATCAGTCCACAAATGACACTCAAACTTTCTACAGGTGGAACTAACAACACTGAAAAGTTCTGGCTCTGACTAGACAAGAGAGATGAATTCCTGCCATGCCCCCTCCTTGGTCAAATGGTCAACGCATGCACGCACTCACGCATGCACGCACGCACGCACCTTGTATCCGTCTCCCCTTGCCAATCTCGGGACATATGAGCTCTCATCAGGAACTTGCAAATACAGGGAGGGAACCAACAAAAGAAATGAAGAGAATGCATACAGTATGAACTAACTGCATTCTCAGGCTATGAAGCAAGGAATCAAAGAACACTGAACAAATATTTATGGAGTACCCACTGTGTAAAAACCTTCCTTTCACCAAGATAATGCCTGTGGCCCCAGAAATTGGCTCCACTAAGTTGTTACAAGTCTGCTCTCTATTTCTCCCCAGACATTCTCTCCCCACTTCATGAATTTCTCTTGGCCTGATGCAATCCTCCTTCTGGAATTATCTTACATAACTACACTGCCCTGCCCATTCTGGTTTCACCTGCCGGCTGACCTTCTTCCAGCTTACCAGGAAGTGGCAATGGCCCATCCCGACCCTCTGGACCATTGACATATGTCCATCTCAGGTTAACAGGTCACGTGGCTACGCAGGACGCTTCCTTCCCCAGCCTTCAAGACAAGGACTCCCTCAGGTTTCTAAGAGAAAACCAACTGATGAGGGTATTAACACATATCCCAGAGACTATTTCTATTCTTTCACAGTACAAATTATTTTTCTCTAATATCACAATTATCAATGACTGAGGAGTTTAACCCAAATTTGCTTAACATTTTGAGCTAAGAACTTGAATGATCTTTGAAACGGAAATCACCACCACCAGTTTTGCCTCTATAGGAACCAAACCAATCACTCACAGTTTTGCCTCTATAGGAACCAAACATCCCTATATCTGACATCCGTTCTCCTCAAATTGTACATGAATACTCCCCAAAGACAGGCATGGGACAGGGTACCATCCGGAGGAAGATGGAGTGCCAGGAGGGAAATTAAAGCACCAGGCGAAATGGCACATCTTCCCAGAGACAGTTTTTTCTCTGGAAGAAAATATAATGTTTTATGTCCCAAGATATTATAAAGTAAAATGAACAAATACATGACTTCTCTTTTAAGATAAAAATTAAAAACTTCAAAGAAAGTTCCTGCTTGCTGGCAGTCTATTGGGCTATGCCCACAATTCGTAGCGTGCTAAGTCGCTTCAGTCACGTCTGACTCTTTGCAACCCTTTGGACTGTAGCCCGCTAGGCTCCTCTGTCCACGGGATTCTCCAGGCAGTTATACTTGAGTGGTTGCCATGCCCTCCTCCAGGGGATATTCCCGACCCAGGGATCCAACCCCCGTCGTGTGCAACTCCTACGCTGCAGACGGATTCTTAACCACTGAGCCACTGGGGAAGCCCACAATACGTGGAGTTTCCTGCAAATAATTTTTCCGCTTTTACATGCCCTCTAAGGAAATTTTTGAGAAACATTTTACTCACACTATGAACTTCCTGAGGGCATGAACCACAGTCTCCTGCTCTTTGTCTCCAAGGACCTAGGACAGTACCTAAGACAGTGGTTGGCACAAAGGAGGCACTCAATAATGTTTGCAGAATTAATTTGGCTAAAATAATGACAATGGCATTGTCAATAACAATAGATTTTTATCAAGTTTGGATGGGAGAAAGAGAAGGTGAATAGCTATGTGAGGAAGTGGAATAGAAGGAACCCAATTTAACCAAACAGCTAATGGCTGCCATAGAAACAATCAGATGAAGCGACTCAGTTTAGTTCTTCAACAAGTACAGGAAGGCAAATATTGTACTTGTTAATCTCACAGAAGGCGGGGGTGGGGCTTAGGACACAAGGCTATCAGGTGACACTGGTGCCATTAAATTTAATAGGTTCTCAAGAATTGGAAAGGCACTGTGATAAGAATAATGCCACCAATAATATTAAGTCCTGGTTGTATGCTGACCTTAACAAGATAATTTTGATCATTTAGAGGCTGAGTCAAATATCTGCTGCTGAGACTTGACAACTCTGAAAAGTAGTTTGGTGTGTGCGTGTGCATGTGTGTGTATAAAATATGGTGTGGATGTACCTTTTCTTACTCTTAATATTGTTACCTTTTTTAACCTAGCTGGACCCAAACCAAGTTACAGATGGAAGCTGATTCAAAGTATATATATATTTTTTATATTCAAAGTTTTTTTTTTAACTTCCCTGAATGGAGACACTGCATTTTCACTCATTTGTACATAATAGGAAAGATGGGTATCACACCCACTTTCTCTACACAATCCCTCTTATACTGCAGTGAGTCACTTTCCATGCCCAGTATAGCCTGAACTTTTCAAACTGGAGGGAGAAGGAGCTGGGCGGGGGAGGAAGTGAGAACTCTGAGCCCGGCAGGTGTAAACCGTGAAGGGGTGAGCCAGGTCACTGCTGCCTTCCAGGGCTATTTCCTCTTCTCAATCTTCTTCTCAGATATGTGAACTGCCAACCAAAATGATGCCTTTCAGATCTTCCCAACAATGACAGCCAGAGACCCATACAATTTCAGTGAAAATCCAGAAAGCAGAAAAACATTTTATAGTAGTAAGATGTTTGTAGCGCCTGAGGAAGATGTGAGAATGGCTCAAGACACAGAATGACTCCAAGCAGAGACGGACGCAAATTAATCTCAATAAAACCTGAGTATCTTTCCCACCAAGTCCTGAATCTGCAGGCATCCCCCTTTTGCCTGAAAAGTAACTTGATCCTGTGCTGTTTCTGTCAGAGCCACAAGAGTAGCTTATTGTGTGATTGTATCATTTTATTCTGTGGTATAAAAAGTGAGAGTTTTTCAGTTCACAACATCCGGGATCAAATACTGCTCTTTCAGCAACTGGACAAGTCCCTTAACGTCTTTAGGTTGAAATTGCTCCATCAATCAAAGATAAGAAAGTCCACGCCCAAAGTTATTCTGAATATTAAACGAATGAACTTGTAAAATGCTCAGCACGCAGCAGAGATGAATATTTGTGTGCAGCAAAATAAATGCACGCAAGGTTTTGTTTTCTATGTAGTAGGAGAAAATACCAAAAACTATTATAGAGAATGCCAAATTGGCTAGCGGCCCGGGTCACCGCTCGGGGCTGCCCTTGCGGGTGCAGCCTAGATGCCAGGAGTAGGAGACGATATAATCAAGTCGCTGAGGTTTGGGGAGCACTCCTAAACCAGTGTCCCGGAAGAATCTCCGGACGCTGTGGGTTACACTCTGGCCTGTGTAACTAACAAAGTGCCCTTTGCAGCTGAGCGGATTCTCGTTCCTTAAAGGGTCTCATCTGGGAAAAGTTAAAATGAATCACTAAATGGAGACAAGGGAGAGCCTGAGGATCCACGGGGTCTGCACACTCCGAAGGTAAGGGGGAGAGATGGCAGGGTCCCGGGAAGGACAGGAAACACCACCACCACCTCCAGCCCTCCAAACCACACTCTACCTGGGGATGAACTTGACCTCGTCCCCGAGTCGCTCCTGGAAGTCCTGCCAAGCCTGGCCGGAGCTCGCCGGGTCCCAGGGAGCGGCCAGAGCCGCCGCCGCGACCTCGTTGCCCTCGTCCTGCTCGCCGGACCCGGGGTCGAACCCCACCCGGGCCGCGGCGGGCGCGGGCTCCCGCGGCCCCCAGCG